GCACGCGCAACTGGAGCCCAAGTCTCAAAAAATTCACTCTGGTATTTTTTCCTTCCCTTCCCCTCCCCACCCCTTCCCCCTTTTTTTCCCTTCTTTTTTTTTTTTTTTTTCTTTCCTCCTTTCTAAGTTTCTGTGGATAAATTGCTTGAGGTTACCTGGATTATTTCTCCTGGTGGTTAAAGTTTTGCAATATTATCCCAGCATGTGTCACCCTAATATTTTAAGCCCTTGGACTCTCCCTAAAATGTTTCATAATAAATTTGCAACTTTGACTTCTGAAGGTTCCTCTGGTCGCTTTTAATGGCTGTATACCTGCAGCATGGGAAATATAAGTAATGAGGAATTGGGGATAAAAATTCTTTACTGAGACCATTTTAAGTTATTGGAGTAGGAATAGGCTTAGAATTACTGTCTGGGCTGTGAAATAGTTTGGAGAAGTTTATTGCTGTGTTGGGGGGGCAATTGATCCTTTTGGAACAACTGGTGTTTATGAATTTTGCAAATGCGATGGAAAACTCCGAGTGTCTCTAACTCGGATATAAGGAGATCTCGCAGCCTAAAGCTCGTGTGTGACACTCGATCCCAGCTGCGTGTTTTCCTCCCCCCATCCCTCACTTCCCATGGAGGCATTGGTGCCTGTGGCGGGAGCGCGGGGATGCGGGGCGCGCACGGGAGCTTCCCGGCGCTCCCGGCGCTCCCGGTGCCCGGCCGGGAGAGCGGGCGGCGTGTGCGAGCGGCTCCGGGCAACGTGGGGAGGGAGCGCGGCGCGGGATTGACTGAAGGAGCGCGCGGGGCCGGGAATGACGCACGCCGAGCTGGATCAGAAACGCGGAAGAATTAGGAGCCTCTAAGTGTCACCCGGCGCSGTTTAAAGAGCACCGCGGCGAGCGGCGAGGCCGCTGCGCGAGCGGCGTGGGTAAGATATGCATCTTCCTTCTACTTTTCTCTTTCCCTCGCTCTCTCTTTCGCTGTCCGCCGACACGCAAGGCAGGAGCCTTGCGGCAGGGATCAAGAGAGAAGGATTTTAGGCGAGCTTTGCAGATTCTTTTTTTTTCACTCCCCTTGCTGATTTTTTTTTTTTTTTTTCATTTTGTTCCAGACAAAGCCTAGACAGGTTGTGCTGTTGAGAGCCGAGGCGCGCTCCCGGGCGCCTGCGTGCGCCGCCGGCACGCGTGTGCACGCTTCGTGTTTGTATTTATCTTATTTTTTTTCCGGGGATAAGCCGGCGCGCAGGCCTGCCTCAGCCGGGCTGCAGAGAGGGGACCCGCGCTCCGTGTCCGTCTCCAGGGCACCGCCAGGCTCCTGCTGCTTTGCAGCTCCGCTCTCTGCCGATGGCAGTCGATAATTGGTAGCCGCAGTCTGCGGTCTGAGCCACAGCATTTTGTCTAGCACCTGGGACGGGCCCCGCTGACAGACCGGAGAGAGAGAGGGAGAGAAAGACAGAGAGACAGGCAGACAGAGAGACAGGCAGACAGAGAGACAGGCAGACAGAGAGACAGGCAGACAGGCAGGCAGGCAGGCAGGCAGGCAGAGAGGCAGACGGAGCAGGCCGGCTGCAGGCGGGAGCCCCGCGCGAGCGAGCCGAGCGGCCGCCGGACGCGCCTGCCCCACGGGCTGCCCGGGGATGCGGCGCCCGCCGGGGGCTCCACCGAGAGGCTCCGATCCCTTTTCCAGAGGACACGATTATGTCCAGTGAGCAGCTTAACAGTACAGCGGTGAAGGATGCACGGTTAAAAGACCTGTTGTTGGAAAGAGGTACTCCCATTTTATTCTATTTCGTGGTTTTGCATGGCTAGGGTTACCGCGAGCTTAGTGCCCAGGTCGTGTCGGAGCGAAGCAAAGGGAATTCCCACACGGCAGCACCTCTGTGTGGCTCCGGGAGCTGCGGGTGATCCCAGCCCGGCACCGCGAGGAGCACTTTGCCGCCTGGGAGAGAGAGTTTGCTTTCAAATGATCGCGTCGGGTGACGACCCAGACCTCTGCACTTGCGGCATTATTGTGCTTATTGCTAGGATAAGACATTATTTCTTCCTTTCCTATTTTCCTGCAAAGGTGTTTTCATGAACTGCGGAACTGCCTTGTTATGCCTGTGTGAGGGAAAATCTGAGGGGAGAAATATTCTATAAATTTTATTTCCTGCATGTGAAGAAGTATGTGTGTGTGTGTAAGAGAGAGGCAGGGGGAGATAAAAGTTGATCTTGCCTTTCTTCACACTCTTCCCCACTACATTTATGGGGAGGGGGGAAAAGAATCCATGTTTTGGAATAGGGGTCTGTGGATGAGAGCACCCGGGTGCCCGGGCTCCTGGGCCAGGGCACGGCCGTGGGCTTCRTCAGGGGCAGGAGGGACCAAGTGGTGTTTGTGACCAAGTGTGTGGCAGCGGCCGCCAGGAACCCTCCGCGTCRCCGCCAGCCGCCTCGGGAACGAGAGGCCGCTTCTGTGACCGTCTTTCCCCCTTTCTTTTTGCCTATTAATAACCTGGTGCTCAGGAGGAGGAGGAGTCGGGAGCGAGGAAATGCCAGACATCTCCCCCCGCCTTTCCCTCTTCCTCCCCTTTCCAGTGAGAAAATCCTCTCCAACATCCGTGGGAAGTTTTGTTACATCTTAGTGTTTGCGGGATGAAGCTYGCCCTCGGGCACAGTGATTTTGGGGCATGGCCGCCTTTTGGTCGGTTGTTTTCCAGTGATTTTCATCCCATGAGAGATGTGCTTCCAATCCTGATCATTTATTTGCAGAGGGGAGGAACTGTCCCCTGCCCCTGAAATGCTGGGGCCTTGATAAATTTAGCAGACTCTGCCCTTGGCAGATATAGAAGCAATATGTCACTGCAGTGATCGTAGCATTCTAGGAAAGCCTAAGTCAACATTGCTTGTTTTGCATGTCGCCCTTTAGCAACAGTCTCTCAATTTCCAGTCACAAAATATTACATGATGTGAAGGGGGAGAAAAAAGTTTAGGGTAAAGAAACCCTTTGATACTTGGCATTGACAGAATCTGAACTGCAGCATTTGTTGTCTGTGTCGAGTCTGYGCTCTGCACTTTTGACCCAAGAAAAAAATCTGGCTCTACGCTTAAACATGTTTTTTTGTTGTTGTTGCTTTGTTGTTGTTGTTTTTTTATATAATTAATTTCTTTGCCTGCTGCTTTTGGCTCTTTCAGTGCTGACATCATTATCTTCCAGTGCCTCAGGACAGAAAAATGGCACATGGGATGCTGCATATGGGCTTGATAGCAAAAGCAGAGGGAGGCTGCAAAACACTGACTGATGAAATTATTCATAAGTGTTGACGGTGTTGCTAATGAATGGATGGTGCTTACCAGGGAAGAGAAATTAAATGGTAGACATATTGTTGCGTTCTTCCAGGCCCCTTTAATCATCCCGTGGCTTTGAGTGAGTTCAGCTGATGATGTTGTGAGCATCCCAGGGATCCTCGTGTGCTCCTGTCCACTGCACAYGGGGGCAAACTGCGGGACTTTGGGGCACAAGCTGGTGCTGGAGCATCCAGAGCCTCCCTCTGGCACCGCTGCCCTCCCCGCTCTTGAGGGCTGAGGTTACACTTGGCAGAAACCTTCGAYTGGTGCAACAAACTCGGCTTTCCCTTGGTTCCCCCACAGGACGTCCTGAACGTGGAGTGTGAGCTGTGCTTTTGCAGCCCGGCCTCGCAGCCGCACGGCGTTGGCRTAAGCTCCAGCTCCTGTTATTACACTGCAGGGCGAGGATGACTGCAAGTGAGAGAGATGAGGGAGAACGCTTGTTCCCTCCACTATATTTGCTTTGTCCCTTTTCTTTTTTCAACTTTCAGTATCTTTTTTTTTTTCTTCCTCACTGGCATTTCTTTTAAAGCAGGACTTGTCTACCACGTTACTAAAGTCACATTTTGGCCACCAGAAGTCGTGTCGTTTCTGAGAAGCTCTGAGAACTGAGCAAGTGCCACCGCTTGGCTCCTTTGTACCCCAGCAACCAGAGACCCCCTCCCGTTGACTGGGGGTTGTCCCTGGGCTCGAGAGGGTCCCCTGTGAGCAGTGCATCTTCCATAGAAATAGCAGCAACTGTAACTCCAAGGGGCCCTATGCGCTCTTAGCTTGTGCACCCGTTGCCGCTCCCCTGTAGCTGAAGGGCCTCAAGAGTGGCTGCGAGTGATTTGATTCTAAATATACTTYGTAATTGTTGTGTGACGGGCTTTTATGGGGTGCGTCGCGTTGTGTGCCTTGCAGCGAGTCAGTCTGCATGTCATTCTTAACCACAGAGCAACATGTCTTGGTTTAGGCAGACCAGAACACTTTTTAGACTTTTAAATGTCTGGCAATGTACTAAAAAGTTAATTTTACTGCAGTTGGAGGAGGGGTAAGCAGCTGAAGCAAACATTACCTGTAGGTTCGCTAGAACAGAGGTTTGCTTTCAGCTTGGTTTAGATAAGGTGAAGTTAAAGACAAAGCTGTTCACTGCTTTCACACTAGCTCGCAGATCTAGATCAAGGACAGTCTTCCCCGTAGTCTTCCTTCCTTTTTGGTAGATAAAGACTAACAGCAGAATGTTAATCACAGAAACACACTGAATGTCCCAATTCCTCTCTCCATGAGCTCTGCTGTGAAGCTTTGGATCTCTCTTAGCCTCTCTTGGCACTGCAGGCGGCTCTTAAAGTAGGTTTTATTTTAAGTGGAATTGTTGTGTTGGCCATAGGCTCATCCTTTGTGTTTCTGCTGAAGAACTCACTGTGTGTGAGGGCTGCGGTGAAAGATGTCAGGGAAGCTTCTTACCTTTGACTTGCAGCCACTCAGTATCGATAGAGCAGCACTGCTAGAAAATAATTTAAAACTAATTATTTTTAGGACATAGATTTCTTTGTAAAAATTTGCAAAATAGATACCAGTAAATATCTTAATCAGGATCAATTTTGATGAAGGAGGGAGTATTTTCAGCTTATTGCTGTTATGACTGACATTTTGTGTGTGACTGACTTTTGTTTCTTTTTTTTTTGCTTTTCTTTTTCCATTTTGCAGCTGAACTGGAGTTTGTTCAAATCATCATCATCATAGTGGTGATAACTGTTATGGTGGTGGTTATCATCTGCCTGTTGAACCATTACAAACTCTCGACACGCTCCTTCATCAACCGACAGAGCCAGGGCAGAAGGCAGGAAGAGGCTTTGCAGACGGTGAGTAYGAGCGCCCCAAACCACCTTCCTTCTCATGCTTTACTGGTCTGTGTCACAGGCTCCCGAGAAGCCCCCTTATGAGCAACTGCCCCCAAAACTTCTGTTTTCTGCCGCCTCCTGTAGCTGGGTTTGTTGTGGCTGTACTTTTCAGTGGGCTAAAACGGAGAGCCTGAACTCAGCTTGTTTTTTTGCAGCTTTATTTTGCATATGGGGGCTCYGTTATGAAGTCCTGTGTGCTGCTGCTGCTGCTGCAGTTTCAAGGGGAGCGGAAGAGGAGTGAACAGAAACCACCTGGGGTGTGAAGAGTTAAATATATGTTGCTGTAACTATCTCTGTATTTATTAATCTCTTCCTGGAGTTTTACCAGTATTGCTGTTTTGTGAAACTGCAATAACAGTTTGCTGGATTGAAATGCCTAGGAAAATACAGCATTTCATCTGTCTCGTTGCAGCAGCAAGAAAATATTAGTCAAATGATCTCTCCCCGGAGAGCTGGGATGGTTAAGAAGCCTTGTTACAGGTCTGAAGGCCTCAGATTGAAACTGAGTCAAGTCTTGCAGAAAGGCTGTGCCCAGCCGAGCCCTTAACTTGGCTTGTGAGCCAGAYGTTTACCAGTTGGGATCCATTGCTGTCTTGTTGGGGTTAACCACACAGTGTCCCTGACCTTGATATCCCCCCAAGCTCGCAGTGCCACAGTGTCCCGCGCTGTTGTGGGGAGATCCTTTCTCACGTACTCTTGGTGTCCACRGAGAGAGACGCTCCTGGCCCCTTTGCTGCCTGCCACGGCCGTTGGGAGCGGAGCTTCTGCGATGCAGTGAGCTCCTAACAGCAGCACGGGMTTTGCTGCTTGGCTTGACTGTCCACAAAAATCATGTAATTTCAACTGGAAGGCACAGTCCCCTAATAGTTTAAACCTGGCTAAGCCTCACTCCTCTTTCCACTGCTGTCTTGTGTTCCCATCTCTCTGTGCTCCTTGGGGAGCTGGAGAGGCTTCAGGGAGCTCATCTGGCTGCAAACTAAGTGCTTTTTTGGCCCGGGTAGATGGCAGCCAGATCAGCGCGTGGAGCGTGCGGACGGAGTGGACTCAAGCGGAGCCCAGCGGGAGCAGGAGGAGGCGGGAATGATGTGGGCTCAAGCGGAGCCCAGCGGGCACAGGCGCAGGCAGGAACGGCGGCACCGGGATTGACCCTGCCACCCCGATCATTCACAAATACTTCGTAGCAATTTGGCCACAAAGGAAATTAGAGCTGTGAAACTTCAACCTTGTGGACTTCTGGGCAGGAAAAAATGGTCAGATTAATTTGAGAATTTCTGTGAAATGGACACAGTAATTGAAGAGCCACACTTCTGGCTGAAAAATGTTGGCTATAATTGCTACAAGTAGTGCCTAAAATGAAATAATTTGAGATAAAGGAAACGTATTTTTGTCTTTGGAAATCTTTTAAAACTGCAATAAGCTGTCAAATGCATGAAGTAACCTATTATTTTCTTTGTATGGTTCATTAGTATTGTCTGTTATTAGAGTGAATTGGGCCTTTCTCTTGGAAGCAAGGGAGGAAACATCATTTTTCTGTGATTAATAACATGTGATTAGACAGTGGGAACTCAGGGGCTGCTTTCGTATCCAAAACTGCTCTTAAATCATTTTTAAAACATTGACTCAGTTTCATTTTGATGGCACCCATGTAAGTAATGATAATCATAGTCAAGTGAGCAATTAATAGGAATCGATGATTGGTTGGCAAGAACTGGTTACTAATTCTTCTGAGGACTTCCTGGTACAGGTTTGTCATCACTGTTGCGCGTCTGGGTTTCTGATAAGCCAAACTGTTCTTAAAAGATTATCGTATTTATGCAAAACAGGACTTCAGTGTTCTCTGAGATCTGAGATGTCACACGTGATTTTTCCTTTGTCTTAGATGTTAGAAGGAAATTCTGATGGAAACTAATAATGTGCTATTCTCAGCACAAATAATCAAAGCAGCATAAAATGCATGAAAACCAGGAAATGAAAGCATTTGTTCTGTGAAATGAAACTGGAAATGACCAGTCCATTTCATTGTCCAAAGCTGAGTGAATTGTACAAAGTAAAGAGATAGCAGGAGTCGTAAAACACAGGATAGATTATACATTTCTAAAACACATTCTCATTTTAACCAGGCAGTGTTGTTGGGTACGTGAATGCTGTGGGTAACTGGGATGCTTCCAAGGGAACAAGGTTTTTATGGTATCTAGATTCTGAAAACAGGCTGAAAGGTTTATTAACTACTGGTGTCTAATGAAAATCCCATTGTGACTCAGGCCTTTTATTGTCTGAGAAATGGTGAATGAAAATAGAGGAAGTTAGCAGTGCTGCCTGAAAAACAAAGTAAATGAACTGGCTGTTGGCCAGTTCCTGCAGTTGACTCTGAAGTGAAACCTCCTGCATGTTAGCTCCAAAGGTGCATCCAGAGATGGAATCCAGCCTCCTTGATTCAGTGGGGTGTATTTTTCCATGGATGTGTTCAGTTTTGTTCTTTTTTCTTAAGCTGCTCCTCTTTCTAGATAATCGTGTGTTCCAACAGCTGAACTTCAGCTGAGTTGCACAGGTTTCTGGTGCCCTAAACACCCAATACTCAACAGCTGATATTTTTTATTTTGGCTCTTTTAGGAAGTGCAGTGCAAGTGGACCAAGTGAGTTCTCCTGAGCACCTTTATAACCAAGCTCACTCCTTTAAAATTCATTGAGTCAGGTCTCCAAATTAATGAAGAAAAAGCTGTCCATATGGGTTTCTTCTGTGTCTGGCTAAACTTCCTTCATGGAAGGAAAAAAGTGTGGAATTAATGTGATAAAAGAACATGAAATATTATTAGACTCACAAATGTTAGTGAGACCCGAAGGGCAGAAAAGGGACTGACCCCAGACGAAGTATCAGGGGTTGCTCTATGGCAAATGCATGCTGAAAAGTAGGTGCTACACTCTTGTCCTGCAGATGTACTTCCCTTTGTGTTCATCAAGATCTCCTCTTTCTTTTCTTCCTCCCCTTTTCATCCCTTCTAGGGTCTCGTTATCTTCCAGAATTTTCCTTGATCTGTCTCTGTTTGTTTATGTGTTACTTGGTTAGTGTGGTGGGACCCGAGATCACCCCTTGGGCAGGGTGATCAGAGTGCTCAGAGACACTGTTTCCTGCAGGGCCTTTGCTGAGGCCTCCTGCCAGCCCTGCGTGGCCAGCCCCGCACCCCGCTGGCTTCTCGCGGGGATATTAGGACCTGTAAACCCCACGGGCTCCATCACTCCAGGGGGAGGTCAACCACGGCTCTCRTTTTAGCAGGAGTAGGAGTTTTGGCAGCGTTAGCGGTGCGGGAYGCAGCGGTGCCGAGCGGCAGCCGCGCTGATGCGAAAGGCAACGCGACGCGAGCGCTGCGTGCGGCGCTCAGCGGTGTCCCTGTCACCACGAGTGCAGTATTAACCGTTTCCCAACCCTGGAGGATCCCCAGGGAGCGCTGGGCTTTGCCGTGGGGGGCGATCCCTGAGGTGGGGAGCTGGGGGGCAGGCGGCAGCCGGCCACGCGTCCCCACACACACTGCGGCCAGAGCCGCTTCCATGCGGAAGCAGGAGCTCTCCCTGCAGAGGGGCGGCCGTGGGGGACCGGGCACTGGGAGCTGCTGCCCGAGCCCTGCAAGGATCCGCGTTGCATGGGGAGGGCAGCATGGTCCCTGACCTGATGGATTCTGCTGGGACGGGGATAGTGCAGCCCAGGGACTGCCATGGGGCCACCCTGTGTGCTGGGGCAAAACCGAGATAAACCTCATTTCCTGATGATGAACTTGGTGTCATCAGGGGTGATTTCCAGGAGGACACTGAGGGAAAGCAAATCTGAGAAGCACTTTCAGATTTGATGCTCATGGGGAGATGTTGAACGAGCTTCCGATGCTCCTCCACTGATTCCTTCTCCCTGTCCTGGCCRCTTGTTGCCTGGTGTCTTTCTTCTCTTCCAGCATGGATATTGAAAGAGTGCGGAGCAGCCGGCCGCGTGCCCCACAGCTCCTGCGTGCCCCACAGCAGGTTTTAGCCCTCCGGCCGCCCACATGGGCAAGAGCGGGCCACGAGGGCAGTTGCAGGAACACTATGCTCCGCACTGGAGCTAGTGCAGCAGCCCTTGTGGGGCAAAGAGAGGAGGGAATCAGGAGGGCGGCAGGGAACACTCAGCAGTGCTGACAGCCGGAGGGCTCCCAGCGTGCGACGCCGGCGCTGGGGAGCTGGAGAAACACCGGCCTTAGAGCATCAAGTGGCAGAAATAATCACTGTGACCGCAGCTCTAGGGAGGCAGGCGACAAGTGAGAGGTTTGCTTCTCCCCATAATTATTTCTCTCTTGCTTGCAGCTCCTCTCTTTGGCGCTGTGTGCGCCCTGCCCGGCACTCCAACCTTCCCTGCCCTTGGGCCACACAGCCTGAAGGGAAAGAGGAGCCTCTCTGCAATGCTTGTCATTCTGCTAGGGCATACACAACAGTTGTGCTCTGCTTAGGCTCAGAGGGAAATGCTGTGATCTTCAGAGCAGGGACGGTCTGTATAACTCAAGAGCAAGCAGAGAGGAAGGACCTGTGAGCCTTGGCTTCCCGGAGTATTTTAAGTAACCCGCTGCTTTAACCTGGTATAATATATCACTGCCACCTAGGGCCAAAACCAGAAACTACACCTGAAGCACTTCATCTGCAGAAGGCAAGTGTGTGTTAAAAATGAAACAAACGAGSTTAGGTAAGGGCAAAAGAGGTACCTTTAATGTGAAAACAAATAAAAAAGAGGCAGAGAATAAATTAGTGCCTCCAGTGTGTTTCAGTGAATGAAAAACTAGCTTCTGCTTCTCAGGTGATATAATTTAAGACAGTTCTATTTGTCAGAAATGTAAAAATGGAAAGAATTTTCCACAAGAGAAACAGTAAATAAGCAAGGTAAACACAGAATATATGTACAGAGCCAGGGGAGGGCTGGCAATTGAAAACTGAACCCATCCTAAATCAGTTGGAGCTTTTCAAACCACCTGAGGACTGGAATATCCACTTGATCAGAAGGTAATAGGCTTATTTGGAATTTGTATCATATAGGTTGCTTTTGCTTCATTACACTTTGAGAGGTTTTTCTTACTGAGCATAGTGTTTTTGTTTGTAGTTTGGTTTGAATGACAGACAGACAAAATCAGTCTTCCATCAAGTCTGTCTCTTCTGGAGCCAAATTGGCTGGATGGCACTGCATGCTCCGGGAAGCAGGAATGGCCTTGAAGAGTCACCTTCCTAACCTCTTTAATTCTGGAAGCTTTAAATCTTTGTAAAATACAAATTAAGCAAATTAGCTTAGGTTTATCCAGTCTCATAAGTTTTAAAGCTTGACTTAAATAATCAGTACCTTAAGATAATTAAGTAATCACCCAGCGTGATTTATCAAATGCTACTGTTATTTCAAAAGATAATCCTCCAAATTTGTTCCATAAATTATCCTTGAACCTAAGAGCATCTAACGGGCAGCAAAAGACTTAGCTGGAACCCTAAGATTTTTCTTCCTTTGGTGTTATTTGCAGGGTCGGGATTTACCACAAAGACTCAATCTTTTTCATTCCAAAACCTAATCATGTTGGAAATTAATACAGTTTATAGAAAAAAAATGTGTCTGCTTCTTCTTGCTTTTCATTGTAAATATTAAAACTCAGGTCTGAATGCTTTGGGTCTGTTTCAGACAGAGGAAATTGAAGTGTGTGAGGTTAGCTATTGGGTGCCTGTGAGCAACAGATCAGTGATACAAGAAGATTCCCACAGGAAAACTGGGTAAATTCTTGCACCAGCTACGTGGGCTTTGCACATCCATATCTACTGCCTAAACTGCAAGAGCAGGAAGGAAGTGCCCTGCTCTTATTTTTAATACTGATTTCATTCTCGGTTTTACTATGACGAGAACATGCAGAGAGGCATTTACATACATTGTACTGGAGCAAGAAGCTCCAGGAGAGGCAGATTTCATTTGGCTCCTCAGTGATTCTACATATTTGACTGGAGATTTCGTTCAGAGAGAATGGGAACCTTACCTCCCCTGCAGAGAGATACCCTCACCTGCCCTAGGTGCAGCAGTTAGAGAAAACCAAACCTCGGACAGTCACATCTGATCTCCTTGGGCGATGTGCTTCCTGCAGGGCCACTGCAACCCTGTGGGTTGTCAGGCTCAGGCAGGAATCAGAAGACAGGGTGGTATTGGCTGATATATTCAAAACTTTAATTCCTGTCTTTAAGAATAGCCATGTAGTTTAGAAACGTATTTTTAATAAATTGCTTGGCAAGAGAAGTATGTTTGCTCTGTTGAAAGATCTAGGAATCTGTCATTCAGATCTGTCCTGAGGTTCTCACAGGCTGGAGTTCAGCTGCTTCTCCAGCACTTCTGCCTCCTCGCGTAGAGAAGCTCTGGTGAGAGTGCCCTGGGCTCCATAGCCTTGGCCCGGGTGTCCCAGCACCCCTGTCACACTCTGTGCGGTCCCTGCARCTCCTCTAGTGCCTCTAGGCAAGGTCTTTCCTCGTACGGGGATTCCGGTGTSAGCAGTGAAGGCCTGAGCTCCTCTAGCAGGAGGTGGTTTCTGTTGGACGTGCCTGGTGCAAGGTCTTGTTCCCAAGTCTGCAGGTACAGATCCAGGGTCCTCTCAGCGCAGGGAGGTCTTCCCAGATACCTCCTTGTGCCCTCATCTCTTCTTGCTCCCCTGCTTTAGGTGAGATGGGTCTTAGGCTGGGAATCCATGTTTCTGCTTCCACATCCCAACTCTCTCAAGTCTTCAGTAACTGCAGTGTTGCTGCTGGCAGCTTTCCTTTCTGAGCTGGCTCATTTTTGTTCTACTTTCCTCTGCTTTGAGCCTGAACTGAGACTGAGTTGGCTGCATGAAATGTAACGCTCCACGCTACCGTATTTTTCAAACCGTCACCCAGAGGATACTGCTGCTGGGCTACATATGGCCCATAGCTTGTGAGCTGTTGACTGAGCGCTTTAGCTTTGACTAATATGTTTTACTTAATAATTGCAACAGGCTGGGAGCCTGCTTGGTCAGCTACTGATAACTTGGTTGTCTTTAATTGTGCAAATACGCCCTCAGATATTTCAAAATGAGGGTATCTATGTGATGGAGTGGTGGTGAGTACTGGAGCCACTGCAGTTAGACAATTATTATTTCTGCTGCAGACAAAATTTAATATATCCACAGCAGCATGTGAATCTGCCTTTGTCCTTCATATCAGGTTATTCCAAATGAGGTCATTTGCAAAAGGAAGTTGGGAATAATCACACTTGTCAGTCTCCTTCTGAATCTGCTTCCAAGGCTACAAAAGAAAAGTACTTGGCCAACTTGGTTATTTGAAGCATTTCCTTAGCAGCTGATTCCTGCGGGGAATGACTCTTGGAGCAGCTCTGGTCCCTGTCCGTCACAGAAGGCCTGTGGTCTTGCACTGTCATCACGATCTTCCAGCTAGGTCTGTTTCTGCTTCTGAAATACACTGAGAGGTGCTGCAGTGAAAAAAAGCAGGAGGGTAGGATTTGACATCGGTCCATACAGAATAACATCTTTTGGGACAGCACGCATTTTCTTTCCTTTTGCTTTGTCTGTAGAATCATAAGACTTGATTTATCTCCAGGAAAATGGTCATGGCCATTTAATGTTTTGATATCTCTTTTTTTGTACTAGATTTGAATTTCTGTGCTTCATAGCTTTTCTGATGTGTTTTTTTCAGCCTTGAAGTTTTCAAGTAAAATAAAACCTTTGCAGTAGTTACTGCTACTCTAAAAATATGGAAAAGAAAACATAAAAATGCACCTTCAGTGGTTTTCCCTTGTTGACATGTTCTTCTTCGTCCTTTTACTGTGCCTTGAGTGTAAAGTGTTAGAGCAGGCTTTCAAGCCACAGAAGAGAAAATACTCCAGCCTGAGAAGATGGTTGGGGAAGTGGTTGTTGAGGGGAATTGRTGGCTGAAACCTCGGTTGCTTAATTGCTGTTCATGGTGGGAATTGGGCAACTGACAGTTTTGACCAGAGCACTCCTGCCTTCGGAGGAACATCCCCGCAGTGAGATTGCAGACGTGAGGCCCTGTGGATCTGTGCGCCTCGCTGGGAAGCCGAGATCCTGGYGGGCCGCTCCACCGGACCTGCCGGCCTTCCCGGTGCGGCCGCCTTGCGTTGGGAGGGCGCAGGGACGCAAGTGGACGGAGGGCACAGGGACGCGCTCCACGTGGAAGCGCTGGGAGCTGCTGGCCCCGCACTCTTCCCAGTGCGTCCAGCCCTGCTTGCTGGCCACGGGCTCCCGGCCCGTGAGCACCCCGGTGCCGCCGCCGCGGCGCTTTTGTCTGCGCTCWGCACTCGCTGTCACCAAGGGCTGGGGGCCACGTATGTGCTTGCTCATCACCCTTACGTAGATGGAGGCAACCGGCTGTTACAAGCTGACTGCTCTTAAAAGAGATGTAGTGCTGAGGTAAATGACCATGTGGCGTATTAATTTTTTGCTTTTGTTTTTTTTTTTCTCCGTTCCAGGAAGGGTGCTTGTGGCCTTCAGAAAGCTCCGTTTCACGCCAGGGTCCTTCAGAGGTACCGATGGTTTTCTTGTTACCTTTACCAGTGTGCTGCCCTGTTCCCTGTCATGTGTATTTGCCCCCTCTTGAAAACATACCCGCTATTTAGTAAACAAAACTTTACCCTATCTGAGCCTGTCTTACTTACATTTTATAAATGTCTCAGACTTTCTCACTAGGCCCTTACCTTATGTCTCCCCTGCATCAGCAGCTCCCTGTATCACAGTAGGCCTTCACAGGTGAGTGGTGGAGGCGCCAACAATTGGCTCAGTAATTGGAGCATTCAGCAGAATATGGGAGACCACTTATTCTCCTGCCTGTGTTTTCCTGTTACAAGTAACTTGTCCACTAGGTTAAAGACTTCTTCTAATTCCTCTTTCTCTGTGGCCCGGCTAATTTTAATATAAAACGCATGTGGAAGCTTCTCCAGGTGAGTGCTGTAATTATTAGGGTTCAGCAAACAAGAATCCTCTTGTCCTTGCCCCGTGAGTGTTTACAGTAGCAGTGCAAACAGAAAGGCTTCAAAAGGCAGGAATGACTGACCTTCCACCCCACAAATTGGGAACGTCTTGAAAGCAGAGGGTAGCAAGGCTACTACGAAGCCTGAGGTGTGGGTTGGAACCCCTTCAGCTAATGTAAAAATTGAAAGAATTTATGTCTTCTGGCAAGTCTTTTAGCTGCTAAGCTTGTTAGCAAAAGTTGGGGTGTGTTTTTTGCTACTCTGATGCCTCCTTCTAACCCCTTCCTGCATTCCTCCATGCCCCAGGCTTTCAAAGAAAGGAATGGTGTTCTCCTTGGTTTTACCTGCCTAAAGAGGCTCTTTAGGGCAAATTTCAAGAGGGAGGCGGGACATAACTGCTGGAAATAGAAAGGTTAAGTAGCAGCAGTCATCTTTGGATGGACATGGGCAGGGTTTACAGCACCTATCACCAGTGTTTCCTGTCACGCAGCCAGTGCAGCCCTCTGCTCCACCTGCTCATTTGTGGTTCCGGGCTACGTCGTTCTCCTTAATTTAACAGTGAATCTTCCTGGTGAAGAGGCCAGGGCTAAAGACCCTGCATGGGCCTAAAAATGAGAACAGCAACTCAATGGATCTAGATCTCAGAACTAGGGGCATGAATATGTGTCTGGAGCAGACTGAGCAGAAGCTCCTGAATTCTTCTTCTGGCAAATCCTGCCCTTCTTCAGGGCTTAAATATGCCAGAGATATGGGTTTTTTTTTGTTGTCAACTCACAACGTAGAAGCCTTTTAGATCCCCACTGGAGGCTGAGCTCTGACTAAGAACTAAGGGGGAGGACAGCTGGTAGCGAAGGTGTGAGATATGCTTGACCTTTCTATAACTGTGCTAAAATGACCATCTGAATTCTTTGGTAATGTCGTGTATTATATTAGCTTCCAGTAGGAGGTGGAGATTCAGCCTGCAGCTGAAATTCAGCACCGAGACGTTTTCATAAAAGTAATTAATTTTCAAAGCTGCAGAGAAAACCAGCCTGGAGTATTTCACTGTGTACACAGACACATTTTTTTTTTCTCTCCGTTCTGCATGTTTTCCCAATGTCAGAAGGAGCTGTGTGGGGTCTTCATCTTCCCTCTTGGGGCTGTTCTCAAATGCCTTGTGCCAGATGCCTCCCCCAGCTCCTGCCTTTCCTTTCCATGCCAACACGCACGTGAGCCCACGTGCGCGCCCGATATCCGCTGCGTTCAGCCTCCAGGCGGGCGCCGCGGCGGCCGGTCCCGTCGCTTGCTGGCGAGGGGCGCCGCGGCGCGTGGCTCAGCCGCCCCTTTCTCTCCTCCCGTTTCAGATCATGTACGCCCCCCGGCCCCGGGACAGGTTCAGCGCCCCGTCGTTCATGCAGCGGGACCGTTTCAGTCGCTTCCAGCCCACCTACCCCTACATGCAGCATGAGATCGACCTGCCTCCCACCATCTCGCTCTCGGACGGCGAGGAGCCGCCGCCGTACCAAGGCCCGTGCACGCTGCAGCTGCGGGACCCCGAGCAGCAGATGGAGCTCAACCGGGAGTCCGTGAGGGCGCCGCCCAACCGGACCATTTTTGATAGCGACTTGATAGACATTTCCATGTACAACGGGGGCCCCTGCCCGCCGAGCAGCAATTCGGGCATCAGTGCAACCACSTACAGCAGTAACGGGAGGATGGAAGGGCCGCCCCCGACGTACAGCGAGGTCATGGGGCATTACCCGGGCTCCTCCTTTTTCCATCACCAGCACAGCCACGCGCCTCCCCCCTCGCAGAGGGGCAGCAGACTTCAGTTTCAGCAGAACAATTCAGAGAGCACAACAGTCCCCAGCAAAGGCCCAGACAGGAAAGGAGGGAACCTGGTCTAAGTTCCTCGGCCAGGCGCGTTCGAACTGAAGACGAGAGGCGTTCGAGGAGGGCGACGGAGAAAGACGCCCCGCTCTGGTGCACAGGGCTGTTGCGTCTCACGGGGTACAACTTAGTAAAACCAAACGTGCGCAAACCAGGCCTTTGTTTCTGATTCCTTTCAGGGGAATTGCATGATGCAAAACAGCTAGAGAGAAACACAAACTTCCATTCGGTTTGTCTACGAGCAGTGTTGCAGGGAAGAGGGGGGGATATATTATTTTTTTTTAATAAACTATTTCAATTATTTAATTCTAAAAAGTAAAAACTTAGCACAGAAATGAGGCTTGTACAGCCTGTTTTATACTCACTGAATGGCAGAAATAAGAAGAAGAAAAAGAAGAAGGTTTTACTAGATAAGTGGGGGAAGAATTGGCCAGTTTGCTTTTTTTTTCTCCCAGGGTGTGGATTTTTTTAATATGAGACAAAATTCCTGTTTTGTGTGCCAAGGTATAAAAAGTTGAGAACTTAGATGAATGCAAGGAATTAATTTGTGTTGTGATAAATGTGTTTTTAAAAGTTGCACTATCTTAATGTTTAAAAAAATATATATGAGGGAACTGTTTTATGTGAAGTTCTTCTATATGTTGTCTTTTCACCTGTGGAATAATGATGGAGCCCAGAAGTAATCCAGAGGAGGTTACTCCCTCTTCTCCCCCCCCGCAACCCCGGGTTTGTTAGAGCAAGGGGACAGGATTTAGTCTAACATCTCTTGACTAATAAAAATCAAGAAATACAGGGACATTTAACTTGTCTTTGCAATAATTTGCATTCAAATAACAGTGCATCAATGGAGTGTCTTGCAGACTTTTGGCTGGAAGGAGACAAATATGAATTCCCAGCATTTTCCATCCGTTAAGAGTTTAGCTATGATGCGATTTAGACTTTGTTTCATAAAAGGCAAAACAAAATCCCAGATGTGCTAATTTATATTGATTCTAACTAAGTGCTGCCATTCTTTTCCTTTTCTTAATGCAGTATCATCAGTACTTAAGGTTTTAGAAGTTTCTGTCCTCACTGTAGTCTGCAATGTACTTAGTCACATATCATGGCATTATGCAATAAATTGTTTAAAAAATGCAAAGTGGGGCTCTCTTTCCCCTGCAATGCTGTTAAAATACAAGAGACTGTTGTGCGTTTCACTCCCCATTTCGTCTTTTAGACACTTCTGTTCAGCCCTGGAGACCTGTGGCGTTGCAATGAGTGGGCTTTGGTGGCTGCAGCCCGCGGATGCGGCAGATGCTGCACATCCCTGCAGGGGACTCGGGAGCACCAGTTAATGTCACAGCAAAACACTGGCCTTTGGCTGTGGGCCCTCCCATACCGACCCTCCTCCGCGCACGTCATCCCGTGGATGCAGGCAGGATCGTGCCTGCGGGTAACGATTGCTAATGTATTAACTGGGTGTTCGTAAGCCCTAATTTTGTCACACTGATCTTAAAGGTAGTAGGAAGATTCTACCCACCTGTAAAATGGCAGGTGGGGTATTTCTTCCTTGGCTGGTTTTGTGTGGGAGCAAGTGCAGCACTGGAAGGCAGTTGAAAAATGGCGATAGTGGCATCACAAGCACATGAAAAAGCACAACTTGCACTTAAAATGCATTTCAAGAAACGGACTTAAAACCTTTAGAGTCTTAATTTGAATAGTGTCTAATATATATGTGTGTGTGGGTGCATGTGTGGGTGCGAGGGAGGTTTTCCTGTTCGAGATCTTTCCCCTTCTCCGTGCTTGCAGGCTTGGTTGGTGCGTGCTGCAGGGCRGCCCGCGCGGGGCTCCTGCGCGCCCGGCCCTCCTCACCCAACYGCTCCTTGATCTATGCAGAGTTTTAATGCCAAAACGGTGTGTGTGGGTGCGTGCCCGTGCATGTGCACAAGTTCCGTGGGTCTCGGCCTRGGTCGTTTCCTTTGTAAGCTCATTTGGTCTTGGTTGAGTTTAGAAAATATCTGAATAACCGTTGGTCTGAATATGCAGCCCCGTTTGTCGCTGTAGTTGTGTCTCGGTCGGAATCACCCTCATAGTGCAGGATAAAGCTGCCCTTTAATTTACTTAGTGTTCAGAGGGAGAGGTTAGAGACTGCATGACTGGATTCCTCCTTTTTTCTACTCAGACCCACAGGATAGGGGTTTAGGGAAGATTAGTTGCCTGTCTGTCATGTCTAGTTCCTGGGAGTAAAAGTTTTGAAATTGGATTTTTGCAGACAACCTCTGAGCATAATCGTTAGTCAAAAAAATAAAAACCCCACAAGATATTGCCTTTTGGTCTTCATTGATGTTGCTGTCCTTTGGAAGTGATCCTGTGGTCAGACAGTGCGTGTGCCTATGCAGATACTTCGCTGTTGCCTAAATGTGGATTATTCAGCCGGGAGGCCTTTGGGGCGAAGAACTGRAACTCAGTGGTTGTGTTGGCAGCGCTCACCTGGACCAGGCCCTGGCACGGGGCCAGTGGAATATGGATTTTTTCCCCATCTACAGATCTCACAGGAAYGAGCCTTGAACTTACCTTCAGGGTCACCTCTTGGGAATGTGTTTGCTTTGAAGACAGCCCCTTTGCAACCTCTGCGTGCCAGGAAATTCACACGCAGCCCATTGACCTTGTTGAGTATGAGGCATATGCAGAGTTGTCTCTTAATTTGCCTTGGCTGAGGGTTAAAAGCTGCATGGAAAAACTAACCCATTTTACCAGTTCTGTAGGAAAGGTTTATTTTAAAAAAGTTTAAAATATATTAAAAAATACTTCTGTATTGGCCCACATAATGGCTGCGATTCTTCCTGCATCTGCACAGTCCTCTGTTACTTGCTGCAAGGAAGCTTGCAGTCCGTTCATAGAGATGGGGCCAACTGTTATGGTGGTAAACATGGTATTTTCTAACCATGATTAGTTAGATCAGATTAGTGATCTTTGATTGGAACCATTGCAAAAACCTGTGTTCTCTTCCAATTTTTTTTTTGTTGTTGTGGGGAGAGAACATGCTCGATAAAAGGACAGAAAGCTAAAAGAAGGAAAATTAAAAATTAAATAGACATCACTAACAATCTGTACAGGCTTAAAAACTGGCATTCTCTTAAACTGGGTAATTTATGAAGTGTTTCTGACAAATTCCCTTTTTACAATTTCAAAGATTAATAAACTGTGCTCCAGGGCCATGCAAATGCAGCTTTGTAAACTACTAAAGATTTCTCTGAATATTGTAGAGGTGATCATATGATTGATAGCTCCATACCAGTGTTTTGTTTTAGGTGTATCATGGGCAAAAGCTAGATAACATGTGTGGAGTTTTCTATGTAATGAACCATGCTAGCCTGAATTCCCGATCTTTGCCCAGTAGTGCAACTTCCCTAGACTCAGTCTAGTGCCGTCCCCATTTTAGCAATTTTAAAGCTAAAAAATCTTCTTAAAATGTACCTTAAAACAAACAAACAAACAAAAAACCCATGATGACCTCTCTTTTACCTATCACAAAAGCTCCTTTTTCCAGAAGCTACTTGAAATGGGTCGTCTCCTGCTCATACATATGCCCCATCTTTGATGTCTTGTCCTATAATTTCCCAGGGCTGGAAAAGGCAGGGTCTGTTGCTGTGGAAAAAAGCTTTCCCTCAAGCTTTCCCAATGGCACTTGGCACTTAACTCTAATCCTGGATGTACTTTCAGCATGACTGTTGTTGCATTTGTCTCACTGCTGTGCAATTAGGCCCTTTGCATAGGAAGCACCTTCTCTTAAGAAACGAATAAGGGCTAGGAAATCTAGTCCTATTTAAGTGAGCAGTGTGAAGATCACACCTCCGTAGTGTGGGTCGCACATGCAGGATACCTGCATGTAGGTAGGTATCCTGTGTGGGTTAGGATGGCTTTGCTAAGAAGGACTCCTTCACGCTGCCCCTCATCTTGTCATTGATGAACACAGCACTTAATAAAGCTTCAAGCTGATGTGAGTTTCTTAAAACATCTTTTATTTCTTGCAAGTATGAACAGTCAGACACATGCCCTGTGCACAGAGTCTTGATATTATGGAGGAAGGTATTTCTGGCCCTGCAGCTGTGGGATCCACTATGCCCATGCTCAAATTACACTCAGTTTACTGTCTTTTTATTGCCTGCCCCAACCTCTCCCATCAGCTGGTTGCAGCTGAAAGCTGCTTCTCATATCCCAAACTTGTTTTTTTTTTTTTTTWATATGTTGCATTAAACGAGGAGGCACCACTGAGATTTCTTCTTCTGTGAATAGATTCTGAGGAAGAGCTGGGAGTGAAATTTCATTGTTCCTGATGTGAAGCACTTTCTTTGGAGTAGGGGACACGGCCCTGTCCAGCTAAAGAAATTGGCACATGGGCTTTCTGGAGCTGCACTGCCTGAAACCCTCATCTCTGATCCTGCCAGGCAGGGAGACATTGGACCTTAGAGCTGACACCTGGATTTGTAAAGAATGTTTGAATGTTTTGGGGAAGATTGATTGATTACTAGCCCAACTTCACCAGCAAAGAGTGAGGAGTAGTGCTGGTGGAAATAGGTGTTCCAAAACTGTTTTTTTTTTTTTTTTTTTCTATTTTTTTTTCCCAAGGATAAACAATATACTTGCTGGACATTTGAAAATATTTAGATACTTAGGATTGTCCCCAGTCTCTCTGTGGCCATTTCTGTTGAGTCATGTCCATGTGCACATCTGTGTGTACACGCCAGCATGCAAATATGTGCTTGGATCCTGTCACTTGTTCATCTATGTCTTAGTTATTATTCCATAAGCACCTTCCAAAAATGCTAAGTGGCTGTATGTTGGACTCTTGGAAAAGTGGCGAGTAGATTGTCCAGAACCTGAAGGTATCAGGAGGATTCGGTCTTTGCTTCTGCAGATGTCATGCCCTGTTTTTATCAGTTAGGAAGTTTCTGGCTGTGCAAATTCTTACCTGTGACCTGGTGTGCTAGTGCATCTTCCATCCAAGAGCGGTCACTTTTAGGCTGGGCTTTTAAAAATCCCAGTGGTTTTGGGACAATCCTAGAGTAGACCTCATGTACTGACATACAGGAAGAAAATGTGCTTTTCACACACACAGAAGCACATTGTTTCAAACCTAGGGGATGCTAAGAACCAGTGATTCCCTTGACTGGTGAGTTCACATGAAGATTGACTTWGCTTAACTTCTGCGTATTTTTTTGCTAGGCTTAAGGCATTATAAAGAATTTATTTACACGTATTGGCCTTTTTCCTTATTGTATTGCCTGCTTGCCAACCGGTGCAATTGTAACTGCTGTCCTAAAACAACCCAAAATATTTTAAATCCCTGCAAAGAGACCCTCTTACAGCATTGTTCAAGACCTCTCAAGGCCCTCTAGCCTCTGTTGGCAACATCAGGCTCCCACTGCCTCTTCCCCRAAAGCTCTTTAGATGTAGATGATGGCTCACTTTCAGTGAAGTGCTTTACCACACCAGTAAGTACCAGTGACACACAAATGGAGGAGAACACTGGTGTTTTCTTGAGAATCACTTTTTTTACATTAAGTGTATTTTATGTATTTTTTTTGTAACCACTCACCTTATTTCTCCTGCTTTAAAAAAGAAAAGCAAGCACAGCTTTGTATTGAAGCGTGCTGCAAACTCTCCTGGCTTTTACTTCTGCCTCGCTCTAGTCTGCGTTCCATTTCTCGACCAAACAAAAGCAACTCAGCTATTGCTAGTAGCACTTGAATGCTGAAAGAGCATTCCTTTTTTTTTGTGTTGGTTTAATGGGAAAGAGAGAAACTAACCCATAGAGCATAGATGCTTCCCTCCTCCCCTCCGACAGCCGCCTCCATGTGATTTACTGCCCGAGATGACGCTGTCATCTCYTTGCTATATTGCTGCTGCTGCTGTTTTCAATGGTTTGGTACTTGAGCTTTCTGAAGCAGTGTGGTATGTGTAGGACCTCGTGGGTGACAAAGCTGTCTTCTTTTAATTCTTCCTTTCCCTCCTTGGTTTGTGCTCGTCCGTCTGCTGTGCTAGGGTTATTAATGAACTAGACGCATATGTGTTGTTAGGTATATGATTTCGAGGAGGTTTGCATGTCAG